GGTAAGTTGCTAAATGCTAAATTCTTTGCATGTGAAAGATTTACAAAAGCGCCACTAGGGAGAAGTAAACAGGATGAACATGCATAACGGTCGGTTTTTCATGGGCTTTAGCTTCCATGCTAATCAATGATGGTGCTTAGAGACGTCGCTACATAAAGCAACAGTTCAGGCCCATTTAGTGGCTACTTAAAAAAGAAAGAAAGAAAGACTCGAATTATGAATCTAACATTTTCCCCCCCGTGTTACTGGAGAAGAACGGGGTTATTTTCATGGAGGAAGCGGTGCAGATGCCTCCAGCAACACCTGCATTAACTTATGGACTTTCGTTAACTTTCCATTATTGCAGATAAATCAAACATGTGAAAAGCTGTAATATATACTCGCGTGGATTAGAAAACAAGACATAGATATCAAATATAATCCTGAATATGCATTTAATCCACACTTCATAATTAAATAAACTCCCTTTTTTTTTCCAATCAGCGCTGAGAATAGATGATGTGAGGTCAGATAATATTCCTGTTCAACTTCTTTGATTAATATACACAGAAAAAAAGTCAGACTTAGCAGACGTAAATTCATCTGGCTAACATCATGTTTAGATATTCTTAGCAAAGAAACTGACAGATTAGTTTTGCAAACGTAAATGCGTCATTTGATTCAATGCAGTTTTTTTCATTTTGTATAAATTCAGACTAATTTGACTTTCATAAAAGCTCAGCTCTCATCTCCATCAATCTGACTGCAGCTGCCACCAACAGGAAGGAAGCTGGATCCAGAGACTCCGTCCTTCAGGTCTGCTTTTTCTGCAGCCTTTACGTTTCTGAATGATGCCAGAAATTCTCAGAGTTCAATTAATGATCAGATTATTTGATTCTGGTGTTGAAATAGAGACAAATATAAAAGCTGCAGGAAAGTGGAGCTCATTGAAAGTCTGACAGCCTGAATTACAAAGCTGCCTTTCCAGGATTGTTAAACCCTGGAGTTCAGGATTAAACTGGAGGAAAAAAAACAGTTAAAAAGATCAGAGTCTGTTAGTCAGAGGGAGGTTGATGTTGTAGTAATCTGCTAACTTCAGATTAAATAAAACATGGCATAAGTTTTATTGAATTAAACTCTTTCAAAGGTTTAATCAGTCGCCTTTCTGCACTTAATGATATTTAACAGATCATCCCTGAAATTACAAGTCAAATGTCTGAATTTTGACAGAAAAATGAAACATGCATTAAAATAACATTACTGTATTAAAGAAAATATAAATATATTATTAATCGTCACACTGCAGTTCATTCAGAAAGTATTATTTAACACTTGAAGTATTTTTAAAAGCAAATACTTTGTTACTTTTGAGTACTTTTAACCCCCAAACACACACGCCCAAATGACAGCTACCTGATAGCTGTAAATCACTCTGCAGGCTGCAGGATACACGCAGGTGCCAGAGGGAGACATGGGATCTGCAAATATGTCTCCTTTCTCATCCTCATAAACCTCAAAATCAGTAAGCTCCAACTCATCCTCCTGAAAACACAGAAAGACATGAGATCAGAGACAGAAGGAGGAGCAGCCATGTTGGTCTTGGAGATGAGGGACACAGAGGACAGAAGACCTGAGACTCGTGCTCGGTTTCAGGGAATGATGGAAGCTGCTAAAAGTTAGAGAGAAGAAAGAGCCACTAACCCTAAAAATAACTAGAGTTGAAAAATAAAAACATAATCTAGTTTATAAATATCTTTATTATTAAAATATAACAAACATATTTCCTTGTGTCATTTAATCGTTCTGACAGCTCTTTCAATTAAATTCAATTCAGTTTATTTCTATAGCTCCAATTCACATCATGTCATCTCAGGTCAGTTTCCAGTTCACCAGATCATCCAGTCAGATTGATTCAAAGTTTTCTGTCTAAGGAAAACCAG